TTTATCATGGTTTCTGTGTGGTGAACGGTGAAGGAGGGGGCCGGGGTGTGGGGTGTATAAGAGTGCACTCTGGTCATGGGGGGTCGAGGGGTGATGGGGGGTGATGGGGAGTGATGGGGGTCGGGGGGTGATGTTGGTGTTGAGTCCAGCGGGGTTCAGGCTCTGGGTCTGGGACAGACTGAGTCTCTGCTCCTGGAGAAACTCTGTCAGACCAAACAGACACAGACTCTAGAAAACTCCTCACACGTGATTGGATCACACAGTTACATGTTTATAGGAAATAATTTAAGAAAATATATTACTTACAATCATGGAGAGGAATAATATTCTAAAACAGTAGAATTTTTGTTCTCTCGAATGTTCCTGACTGTTCGTAGGATTTGTTCTTTCAGAAGAACATTTACAGTTAAGGGCTGCAGACGCTGCTCTCACTGACAATCCAGGTGAGATTTCAGCATCTTAAACACACCTGTTGTACAAGGAACTAACCCCTGACACTAACCCCTAACCCCACCTGAACTCCTCACTGAAGACCTAAACCTAGTCCTAACTCTAGTCCCAACCTTAACCTTAACCTCACTCTACCATTTTTCTCCATTTTTTATATGTTGATTTTTTTAAATCCAAGATGGCGAACTTCTGGTTTGGGAGGGGGTGTGGTCAAAATATACTTTTTTATTCCTATTCCCATGATGCGTCTGTTTACCAAATTTGGTTTGGCTAAGCAACAACAACAAAGATTTTGTTGGACGTCCTATTGGCGAGAACAGACTTTTTTCATCAAGACCAGGTCACGATTGTGTGAACTAAATTTTGTATGTCTACAAAAAAATCCATTTTTTCTGTTCCTGTTCTCTATGGCCCATTTGAGGTTTTCTTCTATAAATCTGTTCAGGTTCGGGGTGTTCACCAACTGTTAAAAGTCGAGTGGAATCTGCCAATGTTTGTGCAAATTCTCACTCATCAAAGTTTGATGGCGAGCTGAAAAAATGAACATTAGATTGCCTCTAACCATCATATTGAAGTCAGGTGTATAAGGCTGTTACACACCTGGTCCCCATATCTTAACATGGAAATAAATAATAAAACTAAACTAAATGCATGTTGAATGTGTTTAGAAGGTTTATATGATTGATATTGATATTCAGCAGGTATTCATGTTGTCATGTTTGTTCATTAACATGCTCTGTCCCAATCAAATAAATAAATAAATAAATAAAAATAAAATAAATAAATATGTTTAAATGTTTGTACATGTCTTTCTTGTCAAGGGTGAGGATGTTACTTGCAGCCTGGAAAATGCCCTTTCTACCTGTGAACTTCCACCATGTGACACTCAGGTAACATAATCAGTCTTTGCCTGTTATGGTAGAATTGACTTGTAAATTCTGTACAATATAAATGTAAAAGTGTTCTGCACACTGAAACACAACTGTCAGCAATTAGGTTACGGGTTACGTCTTTGAAAATAATTTATTTGTAATCGTTTTAATGTTTAATTTTGGTTCTTTGTGTTATTTATTTATTTTTCATCTTAATTTAACTGGTAAAAGATGGGGTTTTCTGACTGGGACAGGGTTGTTACCTTGCTTCTGCTGTCATGGAGTGATTTTTGCTTTATGGAGAATTATTAGCCATTAATTGATCTCAATTGAAGTAGATACATTTCACTTTATTTTGTATTGGGTGTATTGTATTAATATTTTACACAACGTGTCTTGCTCTGTCTGTCAAATATGCAATGGCCACATAACACACAAATAACAAATGCATACAGTCACTTATTGATTTTGTTGCTATTGTTTTACCTTGACTGATTAAAAGTATGAGCTAAAAGTGATAATCAGTACAAATGTATTATCTATGTAAAGGTAAAAGGTGATCTTTTTTTTAGTAATGCTTCCTATGAATCTTGTCTTTATAAGACTCTATAAACATATTCATAAAGGGTCATAATGCCTTCATAAAGCTTAAAGCAGCACTATGTACCGTTTGGCTGTTTTTCTTACGTGGCTCCCCCTATGGCCCAGGATTAAATATTTACTGCCAAATGTTCACTAGCCACTTGGCTATCAAGCAGCAGACCAAAATAATAGTTAAAATTTGTATTCATAACTATTTATACAAACTCAGGGCTGCATTCGTAAGGCGAGTATAGTTATATAGCCAAGAATGGAGAAGTGTCACTTAAAGTTGGCATAGGGCTGATGATATAGCATATAATGCCTTAGGAGTACAGTCATGAGTATGTATAAATAATGATGAACACTTTACATACATTATGAATGCATTATAAGTCTTTATGAATATGTTTACCTCAACACACACTAACACACACACACACACACACACACACACACACACAACACACACCTGCACACACACACACACACACACACACACCTGCAACACACACCACAACACACACCTGACACACACACACACACACACACACACACACACACACACACAACACACACCTCAACACACACACACACAC